ATTTCAAATGTTAGGAAAAAAAATTTTGCAAAAAAAATTCTAAAGATACATTTTAAAAAGAAAATTTTCTAAAAGTTTTCCAAAAAAAATTGAAACATTTTAAGAAATAAAATGTTACTAAAAATTTGAAAAACAAATTTTGAAAAAAAATTTTTTTCTAAAAATTAAAAAAAATATTTTTTTTTTGAAAAACAAAAAAAAATTTTTGGAAAAAAAAATTTTGAAAAGGTTTTAGAAAATGTTCAGAAGAGATTTTTTTTTTTTAAATTTTAAGCAAACTTGTAAAATTTTTGGAATTTTTTTTTTCATAATTTTTTGAAAAAAAAAAACAAACAGAAAAATGAATACTGAAACAAGATCTTACCTGTAACGTCAACCATTGATCAAAAGCAACACGTCCCTGGAGTCACTGAAAATATCCTGGAGGCAAAATCATGGGAATCCTGAAAATAGTAAAATCACATTAAGTCAACAGTGATAAAAGGTACAGTGCTCCTAAAGTACAACATTACTGATGGCAACATCCCTTTTTTTAAAGTTCTAACTACAACCTTTCAATGCTACATCTATAAAAATCAATAAAAACAGAGGGAAGGCACATTAATAACGCAACAACCTCTGTTTAATTACATTACATTCAAGGCAAATGATACATCCTGACAAGTACATATTCAGCAATGCAATCACCGGCTCTCTAAATAAATAGAAATTTAAAATCTTGAAGTCAGTGCACAACATTGAGAAAGAACACTTAACAGTCGACGTGTACATGGTCTGCACACATTCTGCAGCTCTGCACAGTATACACCTGTGACGCCAACATAAAAATAGATTTGAAAATAGGTTATAGTTCTGATGGTCTTCATAGAAATATCAGAGTTTTGGTTCCTATTTACAACAGTATAGACTCTCCATGGGTTGTCTCAAAGAACAGAACCTAGACTGTAGATAAAGAATCAGAGATCCCCATTGTCAAAAATATTTTACACATATAGTAAACAGTCAGTATTCAAGATGCAGTATGAAATTGCACATTGTTGTCATGCCACAGCGGGGGGCTGTTTCTCGTAGAGCCCGACTGATATCTGCCAAATTTCAGTTGCGAAAATATGAAAATGTTTGCAGAAAAATGTAGTTGTGACGAAATATAGGAGCCAACAAAGTATCAGATTGTTTTTAAATTCTAATAAAGTACCAGGATTGTGTTTGGTCCTAGAATCAAGTATCAGTCGGGCTCTAGTTTCAAGGCTTTGGTACACAATGTCCTGATTGGAAGAAAAGGCTCGGCTATGGGCCCATATTTTTCTCATCCACCCCCTCGGTGTTGCTGTGGAAGCAGAGCGGGGACAAGGCAAAGGTACATCCACACCACCGCCCATTCCTGGGATCAGGCGAGCCAATCAGAGAGCCGAATTAATTTACGGCACACTTCAGGATTGGGGAAGACACTTGAATCACAGGCGTGGGTCAGTGCTGGATGACCAAGAATGCAGCCATGTTGGACCTTTTAAGGAGGCGTGGGGAGCAGGGGTAAAGGGTCAAAGTGACAAAGTGGTTTATAAATCAGATGGAAACCGTTTCACTGTGATTCAAAGAGATGCTTTTCTGCGGTGACCGAGAAAAGACAAAAACAAAACAATACTGAATTAATGATCAACAGACAGAGGGGTTATGGAGAGTAGCTTTGTCTCAGGTCTTCTAAGATTCAAACGTTGCAATCGTGTCTCCATCCATTTCAGAGGCTGGATCACACAGACAACTTTTCCTGACCACAGTTTACAGAAACACAACATTGTTGCCTTTTGTTTCAGGGACTATGTTTGACTCCGTTCTAAGCGTTTCTTCAGACAAACTTAAAAACTTGAAGTGTTGGTCCCTAAAAAAAAAACAACACGCCCTAAACCTGACCAATCAGAAAGAGGCTCTAGTGTTGCTGATATGCAATGGAAATACTGTAGTAATCCAATGAGTGAAAATCATTCCAAATCCAGTGTTTTAATACTTTAAGGTTTTCTGTTTGTCTGACTAAACCAGCCTTCAATGGAGAATTTGTTTTGCATTTTTGTTGTTCTTCTGTTTACAAAACTCAATGCTGTTTTGTTGAAAACCAATTTCTGTTGGTACTTGGAATGATGTTTGGATTGTATTATGAAAGTCACACTGCAGCCTGGCTCTTATACAGATCAGCTGTTAGTGGGGAAATGTTTTCTAATGAATATTTTTTGTAAATTCCAGAAATTGCTGGTAAGAATTCAAAGAGTTCTGGACTTCTTCTTGGACTAAACTATGTGGATAACATGACCTGGATGAAGGAGAATCTTCACAGACACGCTGGTAAGAATTATTATTTTTATTATTAAATAATTTTGATGAATTTAAAAGCGTTTCACTTAATATCCAACTTCAAATATTTAAGAATGTTTTTGATCAGAAAATACTAAAATATATATTATTTAAATGTGTCGTTGTCACCAAAGCTGTCATTTGAGTGAGTCAGATTCATGGAGGAACATTCAAACAGGACAAGACTAAAGCTAAAAAAAAAAAAAAACAAGAGAAGAAGAACAAGAACTTTCTGTGCTTTTAGTTGTATCTGTTGTGCTCTATTCCCTGTTGTCTTTTGTTTTGGAACCAGGAGAAAACATTAAACCCTAAACACTGACCGACGTGCTCTGAAAAGTTGGCTGCAACCCATCCTGAGTTTCTCAACGTTTTGGCCTCTCACGGAGCCTCAAGCCTCCACTGAGTCCAGCGAGGTCTTCACAGGCACCAGGTAGGAAAACCTTACAAAAAGTGCAACTAAGTACCTTGGGCTGTTACTGATAAAGGCAACATTTGTGTGAAAATGAAGTTGTGGACTGAAAGAAAAAAGGGGGCGGGGGGCAGGGCGGGGGGTGGAGGAACACACACAAGCTGTAGAAAACACTCATGAAAAAGGTAGTTGGCACAGTACATTTGGTCACTAATGAAAACTTCGTGGCAAAGTCCTCTGTTCCTCTGACAATGTAGTGGAGGAATCCTGAACTCTACTGGCCTCTGGTGGAGGAACAACGGTATCCCAACTGGCATTGCACATGTTCTCTTTCAGCACTTGGATGTAGAAACTGGAGCTTGGACTTGATTTAAAGTGTGTGTATGTGTATTCATGTGTGTGCGTGTGTTGTGTTTTCATGCACATACACACATAAGCTCTGCAGGACTTGGGGAGACTGAAGAATGTCCTCACAGTGTGATCAAACTCACAAGCATGCAGACACGTCCACATGTCTGAACGGACACTATGAGCATTCCAAAGGTAAAGGTAAATGTAAACAGATCCAGGCCTGTTCCTGCGGCCGGTCCTCCTCAGCAGCAGCAGCAGCAGTTCTGCACCACCTCAGACCTCCATCTGACCTGGAAGGAGCCCAGGAGACCATCAACTCCACACCTCTGGACCTTCTCTGGAGAGACGGAGAGCTGGGAACATGCCGACATTTCTTCGACTGACAGCTTTGGCATCATCCTCTTCTCTCTCCTCCTCCTCCTCCTCCTCATCTGGGGTCACTTGTTGTCCATCAGAGACTGAACTTTGTGCACCAGCTCACGTGCTACCTTCAGGATATGTTGGACGTCATGACGCTCTGCCATCTCTGTGGACCAGACAAACTATTAATGAGGCAGCCTCGGATGAAAACACAGAGTCAAAGTTCCCGTGACAATAATGAGAGCACTGGTTTTCAAATACAAACAAAAGATGGCCGAGTCCTGGACTGACTGAAACCATTTTGTACACCATCAGCTAAGACCGAAACAGGAAGTGTCCAATGAAGCAGCACTAATTAGTCGGAACCAGTTTCCCCTGTGCACCACTAGGAGGAGCCTAAACACCACTGCCTTACAAAAAGTGTGGCCACCAAACACAGTCTCCAAATTTTTTTTTGTAGACATACCATACAGTACTTTGTACTTTGTACTGGTGTTTTGTATTTGTATTTTTGCAGGGAATACTGTTTGTGCGCTCCCATCAGGGGGCGCTGTAAATCTCTCCGGACAACACTAGCTACTAATAGCGCCACCTACCATTGAAGAACTTGATGATGTCAGTGAAATCCATGTTGTTGTCCATGATGATCTCACGGTAAACTGTGACCAGGGCCAGAGCCAGGAAGAGAACAAAGTGTTGGGATGAAATCCTCGGAGCGACCCAGATCACTTCCCATACGGCAAAGACATCCTCGTACAGGAGCTCTGGACACACACGGAAAAAACAAAAACATGAACATCATTTACTTTTCACGTCCTTCACTGATTCTTCCTTTTTAATATAGTACACAATAACCAAGAAGAAGGAGGAGGAGGAGGAGAAAAAGAAGATGAAGAGGAAGAAGGAGGAGGAGCAAGAGTAAAAGAAGAAGATGATGGAGGGGGAGGAAAAAAAGATGAAGAGGAAGAAGAAGAAGGAGGAGGAAGAGGAAAAGAAGATGAAGAGGAAGAAGAAGGAGGAGGAGGAAGAGGAAAAGAAGAAGGAGGGGGCGAAGAAGAAGGAGGAGGAAGAGGAAAAGAAGAAGATGATGGAGGGGGAAAAGAAGATGAAGAAGGAGGAGGAAGAGGAAAAGAAGATGAAGAGGAAGGAGGAGGAGGAAGAGGAAGGAGGAGGAAAAGAAGAAGGAGGGAGAGGAAAAGAAGGAGGAGGAAAAGAAGAAGGAGGAGGAAGAGGAAAAGGAGGGGGGAAAGAAGAAGAAGAAGGAGGAAGAAAAGTAGAAGAATGAGGAGGAGGAAGAGGAAAAGAAGAAGAAGACGGTGGCAAATAAGAAGACGGAGGAGGAGGAAGAGGAAAAGAAGAAGAAGAAGGAGAAGAAAAGAAGAAGAAGGAGGAGGAGAAAGCTAATGTTAACTGTAAAACTGTGCTGTGATTGGAGGTTGTCAGCTGAAGAGGCAGTCGTCCACTAAAACCACTCTGACGGTGATTTGACTGATTGGATGTAATATCATATATTTGTAATCTGATTACTCAGAAGAAAGTTACACCAGAAACACCATGATACAGAGAAGTCGTGTTGTTTATTGTAAACACACTTTAATCAACTAAACTCTGGTCACAGTGAAACTGTCACTTCTTTCTTGTGACAGGGTCAGAACTGAAGGACGACGTGACCGACACCGGGCGATCGACAGAAGAGAACAGGAAGTTCACCTCTCTTGAAGTCCAGCAGGAACCAGCGGTAGCAGAAGTAGAAGTGAGTGTAGTCTCCGTTCTGCTGCATCAGTTCAAACAGCTCTGAGTCCAGGATCTGACACAAACACACACACAGAGATGTTTTAATGTAAGTGACTTCTGTTTTTTAACTCTCTCTCTCACACACACACAGACTAAAGACGTTATCTGTCACCTGGATCAGTGACCTCATGTTGGCAAAGTGTGTGTCCATGGCTCCACCGTTAGGGAAGTTCTGACTCATCCTCTTCATTAGCTGAGTGAAGCAGCTGTAAGCCAGACACTCTGATCACACACACACACACACACACACACAAAGACAACATGATGATGTGTTGATTAATCATATAGATCTTTAAGATGACATATTGATTATTGATTGGCTGATATAACTCTCTAAACCAGACTGATGGTTCTCCTGATTCATCTCAGGTCCATGTACAGGACACAACAACAACAACAACAACAACAACAACAGGAGGAGCAGAGACTGTTTGTTCTCACCATCATCCAGGATGACCATGAGCGGAGCCAGCAGGTCACACATGCCCTGAACGTAGCCCATTTCTAGGTGTTCCCACACATAACTGTGAGTAGGAGAAACACACACACACACACAAACACAGAAAAATGAACCAGGCCTGTAAATATATTTGCATGTTAATTGTTAATTAAAAAAAACAAACAATACAGTGCTGTAGAATATTAATACGGTTACATGAAAAAAAAACATCTCACTGTGTTGATATTTTCTTACAGCCTTAATTAAGGTATTAAAATCTTCTCTCTGTATTTTTGTTTGTTTTAGGCAGAAACGGGACGAAGAAAAAACAAACAAAAAAACACATATTTGATACAAAACACTGTTGTTTTGTATCAAATATGTGTTTTTTGTTTGTTTTTTCTTTCACTACCAGTTAAGAGCTATAACCTCTTAACTGGTAGTGAAAAATATTTTTAAATACATAAGAATCGCAAAGTAGAGGTGAGATAGGTATGATGTTATTTACGTATATATATATTTACCCTTTACAAACCCCCCCCACCGTTATCAACCCTCCTTAGACTGTATTACCGTTTCCCCACACAAGTATATTCTTATATGCACGTACTGTACCACAGGGTGAAGTACCAGGCAGTCGTACCTGCACATGATGTTGCGTAGTTTCTCCAGGTTGGCGGTGCTGAAGTAGTAGTAGTTCCTGTCGCAGCGCTGCACGTCTTTATCGATTCTGTGGAGATTCAGGGCGACGATGTCCAACAACTCGATCTGTTCAAAGAAAACGCGGCCGTCAGCGTCAGTGACTGAGTGTCTGTGAACTCTGTGTGACCTCACTCTGTCTCGCTGTATATATTTACGAGTGCCCTGTCATCACTTGTGCAGTAACTCTCGTTTCAAATCAATAAAAACAGGGTCGTAATGACATATTGAATTAAATAAACACTTCTAATCTAAGAGTTCAGTCTTTAAAGGGTCAGTTCAGGTTTTCTAATGACTTTCTTTATGACTTTTTTTTAGCACAAGCTGCATCTTTCTTCAATGCAACCATGGCTGTGCTGCTGCACCTCTCTACACTGCCCCCTTGTGGAAAAACAGCACAGCAACTGAAAGGTAAATATAAATACATTTTTAAAAAATCTTTCAATTAATTTTAAAATAGTAAGACCTCACAGAGTTACACTGACCCCATCACTTAACACTGACCTGAGCAGTTGTACTTTAAAGTTTCCATGGAGACAGGTATAATTATGGCCACACTATAATTATGTGTTAATTATAGATTGCTAACATTTTCCGTGGATTCAAACCTACCGTATATTTGGACAGGGATGGTGACGTCCCCTCTGCAGACGCCCCGTTTGTCACCAGTTTGTCCAGCTGGCTACACAGCCTCTCTTCAGTCAACGAGTCCTGACGCTCCGTGCGAACACTGGGAGTCCTGGTCTCCTCCCCGCCGCCCCCTTCCTCCTCGGTGCTTTGACCGTCGTCGATGCTGGAGAGGATCTGAGAGTGAGCAGAGGTCACAGAGTAGTTCCTGGAGGAGGGAAGGCCCGAGTCAGGGGAGTCAAACTCCACCAGGGGGCGCTCCTCGGCAGGGGGAGCCGCAGCTGGAACCAGGGTGGTCATGGTGGGAGTGCTGTCTTCTGCACTGGGGGTCTCCTGGCTGCCGGCATCTGGCTCATCCACTGACATGAAGACCTTACGACACATGGGACATGGTAGAACTGAAAACAGTTTTACAAACTTTTATAACCAAACTGATGGCAAATAAATTCAACACGATGAATAAAAACACTGAGGCTTCAGTTGTTGTTTTTTTAACGTGTGAAATAACTAAATGTTTGGTTATTTTTAAGTCATATATTAGCGCTATTAGCTTGTAGCATTTTCTGGTATAACTTTTTAAAATCAGTTTTAGCTAACTTTAGTTTGTAGTTCTATTTGGGCTGACCTTTGACATGACATTTGCATAGACATATGATGCGTCAGCTTTTCAACGACAACCTCTGTCACATTAGCAATAATAACAAAAGTTTAGCTGTGAAATAATTCTATTAAAAGTTAAAATACAAATCAACAGTTGATCTGAAACTCCAGCCTTTTTTTACAACATTTTCTAATGACTCACACTTTTGGCCTTCATTAAATTGTTATAAAAAATTTTTTTTCTAATGACTCACACTTTTGGCCTTCGTTGAATTGTTATTAAAAAATATAAAAAAACCCTGCTGTAAGAATTCAAACGTGTGTGTGTGTGTGTGTTGGATGGTGAGTTTCTCACCTCATTACTGAGTGTAGAGTCTCGGTGAACCAGTCGCAGGACGTGACTGTCGATGCTGCTGCCTGATGAGAGCTTGGCAAAGATGGCCGACTGCATCTCCTTCTCCCTCTGCCTGACGATCACCTCACAGGCCTTCCACTCACGCATCACCTGCTGGTAACGCTCGCTGACCTTTGCATCTATCTGTGGAAGAGCGACGCAGCGAGACACAACGTTAAAAAGACAAAGGAAACCGTGCACGAGCGTGCGTGTCTTTGTGGACGTGTGTGTGTGGTACCTGACTCATGTCCTTCTTGCCCATGCCAAACTTGTAGTGGCCCAGCAGGAAAGGCCACACCTCCTTCCTGATGTCGTGCTGCACTCCTCCATAATACACCAGCCGCAGCAGCTCCAACTCCTTGTAGTTCTACACACACACACACACACAAATACAAAGGAAGTACAGGAATAATTAAGGAAGACAAACCAGTCATTAAAGGACACGGGGTTTTGACAGTAGGTGAACGCATCATCACGACTTTGTTGAAACGCCTTTAAATTTTATATTAAAAATAAATGATAACATGCATCACTGTGACATCGCACTGAACTCCTTAACGAGCCTTCATTTCACTGACACTCATTAAACTTCCATTAGAGTAAAGGAGCGAGAGCGGAGCTGCAGGAGACACAGGTCTAACATGTAATTAATATGAGACTCTTCATCTGCGGATCATAACTTTAACGGTGGATCCACAGCAACCACCCAGAATAGAAACACGTTCATTTATGGAAATGAAACGTTTACAGTAACGACAAGGTCAAATAGCAGCTAGAATTTCACAACTAACTAGAATGTAGAGAATTTCATCATCGACGTAGACTCTAACAATAAGTAACGGAGAATTTAAACAACAGAAAAATTAAGATTACCGTATTTTCTGGTTTATAAGTTGCACCAGCCAGGTAGAGTGCCCTCTAGTGGCTGCCAGTGTGAAAATTACTAACATGTACATTTTTTAGTTGTACATAAGTAGCAGATACTGGTACACAAGATTAGAGTGCCCTCTAGTGGCTGTCAAGGTGAAAATATCTAACATGTGAAATTATATATTTTAATATAAAAGCTACACCTGATTATAAGTCGCAAACACAGCCAAGGGATGAAAAAAATGTGCAACTTATAGTCCAGAAATTACGGTAAGTTAAACCATAAACATTCCCTCTGTCCAAGTGACTTAAACGTCATGGACATTTGTTATGTTCTTCTGCAAAGTTAACTCCTTTGGTCGTTTTGGCGCCAACTCTCCCAGGAACACCATGTCTGGCCAGACTTCTCCAGACGGAAGATTCATCTCACTGATTTTACAGAATCACATCTTTATGCCCCTGCTTTTGCAGATGTCTTCAGAGATTAGCTAAAAACCCACTAGTCCTACCAGAGATTATTAATCTCCTCAACCGTCACCGACACCGACACAGCAAAGCCAGTGAGTTCAGGGATTGGCTGGACTCACGTATCAACGTGTAAAACCACAGCACAGGTCACCTGCAGCATCGAGTGACCGTGATTTATCTGTGTGCACTGACCAATTTTATACCAACAATAACTTGGCACAGCTTGGCTCCTAAATCTTTCAGCCTGTGGGAGGTGGATGATGTCAGACGCTGTGGGTGGAAGATTAATGCCTCTGTAGTGGAGTCTGTGTTTCTGCTGCTACACAAAAGAAGCTGCAGATTAGTCCCAGCCTCAGTTTTCAAATAGCGTCTTTACCAGAATCAGACTGTAGTCATTTCCCACTTGTTCAAATGTGTCAGTCACAATGCACGCTCCTTATCTCCAGTGGACAGCCACTATTCTCCAGAGCTTAAACACAGTCTAAACTCGGACAAAAATATCATAAAACTACCTTAAAGTTTGTTTAAAAAAAAGTTTTCTTTTAACCCACCTTACAGTCTTTCTGGTACTTGCTCCACACCTCTTTGCTGAGGCCTCCCGACGCTTCACAGGGTCTGTCTGGAGGAACGATGTTGTGATTGACCAGAGCTGACAGGTGGGTGCGTACGGTGGACAGGTGTCGACAGTAGGCCAGCCCTGAAGAAGACACACGAGAAGACAAAGCTAAGACTAAACGGTGATCGGGTTCAAAGCGGCTCCTGTGGGTTTAGGTGACCCCGGCCATGTTGGTGTCAACATGAAAAAACTTTGTCCATAAGGGTCAAGGTCAAGGTCAGCTTTTATAAGAACCTGATGTTCCTGCTACAGCTGTGTAAAAGCTAAAAAATAAAATGAGAAAAAAAGATGATCAGATCTGTTAAAGAAGGTCTTTGTGAGTGTCTTTCTTCAATTCCTGCCAGTATATCAGCGTTGTTGTCAACTAAAGAAGAGTACGTTTTTAGCAAATTTAAACTAAAATATTATTGTACCTTATAACATATACTTTTTGTTAGGTTTTTCCTGAAGATATACAGTAGAGTATATGCCGTGGGAAACACGGCAATGGAGTAAAAATCAGCCTTATTGGTCAATGCACATATTTGGCCAAAAATACACACAACAAAATTTGGTTTCTGTATTACAACATCGAAACTCCGACCCTGATTCCTGATACTCTTACAGTGGCAAAGTGCTGTAAATGTTTATATATCTTGTATGTTAGGGTATTTGTCCAGAGTGCTCATCAAGGTCACATGATCTTCTCACTGCAGCTCATTGGCAACAAAAGTCCATTAAGGCCAACGCTGTTATTTAATAAAAAACTTTTAATATCACTTCAAGTGCATTATGCTTCCTGCAAAGTGATTATGAAGTTGATATTAAATGTTTGTTTTTTTTTCCCAGTGGGATCTGATATTACAGCCCTCGGTGCAATTACCCCTCACTGTAATAAAGCAAACATTTTCTGCAGGGTTTCCCTCTGTAATATAGTAAAGCCTCAGTCTGTACGAGGGAATGATGAATGTTGTGATTCAGTGCCGTGTTATTTAAATCAAATTGAATTGTTAGCCAATAATACATGGTGTCAGTGTTTCTCAGGCTGCAGGTGGAACATTAATTCACATCCGACTGTCAGTTCCCGTTGTCTGCAGCAAAACAAATGTGTCCAATAAACAACATTTGATACAATCAACCGTTTGGTTGTCAACGCCACATGCATAATAAATCACTCATGGAAAATTATTGACTTACTACAGAAACGGAGCTAGAAGTAAAAACTAGTAAAGTATCAGAAGTATATAAACAACAACAAAAAAAATCAACCAATCAGAACTTTGGTCGACCGGTGGACTTGGAGATTACAGCCTTAATGGAGCGGAGCTGTGTGTGTGTGTGTGTCAACAGTGTTCTACTCACATCCGTAGAAGGCTCTGGAGACGATCTGTCTCTTCATGTTCTGGCAGAGCATCTTCAGAGGAATACTGCTGGGAAAAGGAAGAAAAGACCGTGGTCACAACCTCTGGTATTGTTAATCTCCTAATGCATTAACACTAAAAAATATACTCAAGACACACCCGAATTAATGATAGAAAAAAACCTGCCAAAATAATGTTAAAAATCCATATTAATTAAAAAAGAAAACATTATATGTTTTTTATTTACTTTAATATATTTAACAGAAACTTTATCTAAATCCAGGACTCTTTCCATTTTATTTTTTAGTTTTTTATTTACTTTAATATATTTAATTTTATCTAAATCCAGGACTATTTCCATTTTATTCTTTTAAATTTTCTGCTATTAGATATGCAACTTTTGCTTAATTTTATGTCAATATATTTTGAGATATGTTTTTATATGCCTACACTTAGGGTTTGAAATGATAACAGCTCCTGTAGATTGATCTGTTCCTCAGTCATGTGACCTTGACCTCCTGCTCTTACGCCAACGTCTAATGGGAATTTCCAACAACAGTTTCAGGATATGGAATTTTTGGCAGGCATTCATTGCTCAGGGGGGAAATATATAATGTGATTAGACCAAAAACCTGTTTAATAAAGTATGACAGTAATCGACAGAACAATGAATTCCTATTATTGTACAATTATGTCACGTCTTTGGACATGAAACTGTGGATTGTTATGAAATGAGATCTAAATATATATTGGTACATGTAATAATGTCATATATGGCAGATCTTTATGATTACATTAAATACATGAAATATTGGATACTGTAATCAAGGCTACATAATCCACCAGTGTGTTATGAAATATAAGCATGCGCCGTGGAACCTTTAATTAAAGAAAAGAACAAAGAACCGGTGAGGTGAGGGAAAACTGAGAGGTGCACATGGTTTCATGCATTTTTTTAAGGTAGCTGCGGTCACCATAGCAACAAATTATGCAACAGCTGCCGAGGGATTAATTTGTGATTTAGATTTAGATTCACCAAAACCACTCAGGTTTCAATGCCGTACTCCAGAGAACAGAATTTTTGTGAATGGGTTTTGTTGTGTAACGTCTTTTTCATCTCCAGGCTTTTGGAGTTGAAGGTCCCTCGTGGCTAAGCTAATGTTTGGTTTGTCCTCCTTGGTTTACTGGAAGACCCCACCCCGCTCACCCCCAACTCCTCTGGTTCTGTTATTGAGTTGATTTTTTACTCCAGGGAGTAGAGTTTATGAAAGTGGAAGAACAGGGATTGCTCTGAAATCTTTTCAGACCCTAGTAACAGTCACCGGGTGTTGGGGAGGGTGGGGGGTTTTAACATAGCAACAGGTCAGTGATGGCAACACTAATATCAGATTTTCATCATCAAAATATTTACAGCCATCACAGAAATCCCTCGCTCTCCTTCAAACATGGAGTGGGAATCAGACGTCCTGCCGTAATGGAAGTGCTTACGTGTGAATGTCTGACGAGCTGTGTATGCAGGTGCAGCCAGCTGGGTACCGCGCGGCCACATTGCTACCGGCTGTGGAGCAGGACTGGCACAGGGACTCCTGAGAGGTTACTTCGGCCTGTTGCCATGACGACGGGCTTCCGCCGAAACCCTGCATCTCCATCATTTCCCCGTGGTCTGTGGAGCGAAAGTGAGAAAACAGAGGTCTCAGAGCGGCGATACGGGAGGACGAGGCGGCGTTGATCATTTCCTCTCTACAATATGTCTCTGACTGAAGTCATATTATGACAAAGGTCCCTCAGCTCAACCAGTGACACATCCACTCGTGTGTGCTCAACCTCATCGTTCATGATGTTAAATGATGAACTGATGAATGGACATTCTTCACTCAGGTTACAGGTAAAAGCTGGAAAAAAAACACGGATGTAGAGAGTAAACTAAGAGTGGGGGGAGGGGTGAGGAGGGGGTGCTGGAGGAAGCTGTGGAGGAGACAGGCAGAGAAGATGCAGGAGAGCCATGCTAGGTTCATTCAGAGGGATAAGTTCCACACTCGGATAAGAAAGACAGAAAGAAAAGGAAGAAGGAAAGAGGAGGAAGGAAGTGTAGGAGGAGGAGAGGGCAGGGGGAGAGTGGGGGGTGAGGGGGGGCTGATGCTCAGGCCATGCAGGATGCTAAAAGCCAGAACAAGACAAGACACACCAAAACCAATCATCTCATAAACAACAACGATGGACACCAAAAAGAAGGCACAGAAAGGCAAGAGGTAAAAAAAAAAAAAAATCTCAGACATTAAATAAATGCTCTTCACCTTAATTCTTCAGGTTGGAGCTGATGACCTGTCATAAATATGAAGCTGAACTATTGTTGTTCTGTAACAACCCCCTCAAGCCCACCCTCCAAAAAACATGTATGTAAAGAAGAAAAAATTGCAAACAAAAAAAAAATCAGGAATGGGACCAACGGGCGGGGGGGCACGGGGGGAGGAGGAAAAGGGGTGGGCAGGGTTTAGTGAAGAATTAGAGTGAACAGCATCGCAGCAGACGACTGCACGAACGAGTGAAGGGGACAGAAAACAGAGAACGGAAGGGAGAGAAATAAAAAATCAAAGTCGACTCGGAGAAGATTTCCATCATAAATATCTGAAAAACACACACAGTCGTTCATTAAAAAAAAAAGAAAAAACAATCAGAGGGGTGCAGAGTTCCCATGCAAAACTTGTCAAGCAACGTGGCAAGTGAAAAATGAAAAGGACAAAATGGAAAAAAGAAAAAGTCGAAATTAAAGAAGTGCACACGCAAAAGCAAATATTTCATCCAGTTCTGGGCCACGACAACACAAACCCAACAGCGCCGAGGCATGCTCCACAGGCCACACCCCCTTAAAACTGTCCAGCGGCTAAAACTCCCAGGATGCAATGCACCCGGCGGAGACTCCAGTCGTTCAGCCAATGACACGACTGGAGTTGAAGTTTGAATCAGCGATGACACGAGGTCCCAGATGAGCCTGTGTGTAAGTGTGTGTGTATGTGTTCTTCTGGGATTGCTATACTTGTGGGGACATCTGTGGTTCCCCACTGACTGAAAGGCAGCGTTGAGGTAAACGGTTCAGTTTGGAGCTGGGATTATAATGAGGTTAAAGGTGAGGCTAAGGGTTGAGATTAAAAATGACAAGATTAGAGATTATGGATTAAGTCTGTGCTGTGTGTGTGGCCTTTTTCAGGATTGACTGCCGGGAAGTGTGACAAAGCCGACGACACTGAGCCGTCGAAAAAACTGCTTCACTTTACAGTGTAGCTGTAATTTACCATCAAAATTAGAACACAAAATAAGGCCTTCAAGAACTTCAAGAAAATCCTGATATTTAGAAGAAATGACTTCAGTACTGAGCAACATCTGGTGCTGATGACCCATGGTTCTGGTTTGCTGGTAAAAAAAAAACACCTGTGAAAATTAAATTCTTTTTAACAAAAAGCGGGGTCCAAACTTAATTTTCGAGTATATGAAAACTTATATAGAGATACTCATCCATGGGATAAGTACACTTTACATTATTACTTCATTTACAGGGTCATTAAAAGTATCAATCCCTGACTTTGGATATTTATTCTCTCATTATCACGAATATTGCACATTTCTCTGCGTAATAAAAAAAACCCTTAATTTATCAGGTTAAGAAACTCAGCAACATGGATTTCATTTTTAGGTAATTAAATGTTTTTTTAAATGCCTGCGGGCCACACAAAATGACTTGGCGGGTCGCATACGGCCCCCGGGCCTCGAGTTTGACACATTCTCTCTCCACTGTTGGGCTGGTGTCAGGCAGCACACACACAGGCGGACACAGCTGGTAAGAGGTTGGGAGGTAAAGATGAGGAGACAGAGGTGAGGAAGGGGGGGTGGGGGAGGGGCATATGCAGCTGGGATGGCGTCACAGGAGAGGGGTCGGGGGTCAGGGGTCAGGTGGGTGTGTTTAAGTGATAAAAACCTTTCATGACATTAGGATCTGTGAGGTTCCGCGAGCAGATCATTGAGATCATAGCATGGAGCCTATCTTCCTCTTCCTCGTCATCGTCCAGCGAGGGGGCGCGGCTGCCCGTGGTGTGGTGGTAATTTATAGTGACTGCTTGCACCAATGGGACGACAGAAAACACAGTTAGAAGAGCGGAGGCCTACACACGTGTACTGTGTACTGCAACACTTGTCATTTTTCAAACACATCGTCCAAAGTTGGTCAGAAAGGAACGTGGCATTTTTTTTTGTTTTTTTTTGCATAACATTCACTGCGGATGAGCGCGTGTTACTCGTGATGTGTTACTCGTGACGTGTTACTCACTGGCATCGTAGCTGTATCCTGGGTAAACGATACGAAACACGTAGTCAGCCGCCGTCTGCTCCTCTCCGTTCCTGTCTTGGTCAATGAGCCGTGCAGCACTGCTCCGCTTTCTTAATTTAGGAAATACTTTTCCCTGTAGGACACACGGACGAATCGAATTACCGCAACACACCGGAGATTATTATTACAGCAGCAGAAATGACAAGTTAAGGAGATTAGAGTTACAAAACTGTCTAGGGGTAAATTAAAAACCCACGATGCACTGAGGGCACGGCTTAGGGGTAATTTACTGTATTAATATATATACATATATACACATATATATACATATATAAACACACATATATACATATATAGACAAAAATACATATATATATATACAAATATATATACAGATATATATATACATATATATACATATATATATATATATACAGTATATATATATATATATATACAATATATATATATATATATATATACACATATACAATATATATATATATATATATATATATACACATATACAATATATATATATATATATATATACACATATACAATATATATATATATATATATATATACAATATATATATATATATATCCAAAACAGCCTTGACTCTTATAAGGCACAGATTTAAAATTCATATTTTGAAATTTTAAACACAGCTCTCTGAGTCGTTAAATTCACATTTAAGGATTTTTCTTTTAAAACCCAAACTATGACTCTAACTGTGACAGACCTTTCCTTTCTGGGACCACAAAGGCGGCTCCAGCTGCCCCCGCGGCAGGAGGCCTGTCTCGAGGCAAGACAGAAACGCCAGGAGGTGACCACCAGGGGGGAAGTGCAGGGGAGGTCGCTGGATCCCATCCTGGCTGACCAGGACCAGAGTACCACCACAGTCGGCTGTGCACAGAAATGTCATCAGTGGAGATAAGTTGATTTTTTTTTTAAGGAGAGCAGTCGACATCATAACATGTTGATGTGATGTCAGGATGATCACAGTTATAAATGTACTGTAGCTTGGCTGTTTACTCACGTCGTTGATGACAGTGGATACAGACGATCTGTCTGAGAGGAACAGTCAGAGCGTAGTCCCAGTAGATACTACAACAGAGGAAGGATGGGCTTTTTTTTTTGGGATTTTTATTTATTATTATTTTATACTTTTGTTAATATGTATAATTACTATTAATGATGATTTTATACATCTTATGTCATTATTTTGAAAATGAAACTTTGACTTGATGATAAATGAGTCCAGAAATGTTATAAAAAAATTTCTAGTATAATATAGTTTTTCTCTTCTAATAGTTTTCTAAACATTTCAAAATTATATTTAACAAAAAAAAGGAGACTTTATCATTACATTTGTAATAAAATGTGAACATTAGGATAAACTGTTAATTTCAGAACAGGTTATATGTCTACTATGACATGATGGTTTTCTAAACCAGTAGTTCTCAAACTGGGGGGTGGCCCCCTCTAGTGGGACATGGAGCTAAGGCAAGGAAGAAAAGAAAGATTTTATTCTTATGAATAACATTATTTTTTAAGGAATCTGTCTACAAAATAAATATAAGTGAATATATATATATATATATTAATTTATTTTAAGACCACAGTGAAGGAATTGGGGGGGGGGGGGTTGGAAATAATGGTCTTGAAGGACATACCAAAGCTTTTAAAACCCCAAAATTCTATCTTTTCTTCTGTAGACTCTCTGGTGAGCTCACAGTGACAGTAACACGCCCCCCTGTTAATATTTAAAGGGGGGAGTTTGGGGGGTGGTCTACCTTTTCTCCAGGTCACAGTCTCCTAAGGTGCCATTGATGAGCTGGTTGGGGGTCCATTTCAGGGTGAGGTTATCTCCAGCCTGGTGAAGCGACAAGTAGCCCCGCAGCACCTCCATGTCCTTCTTCTGAAAGTGTGTAAAAAAAGGAGAAAATTAAAATAATTGTGGAGTAAGAGTAGCACCTGAAGTCAGAGTCGTGGTGGTGTGTGACATACTGGCTGCACCAGGACGTTGTTTTTGCCGTAGAGAAGGTGTGTTCTGGAGTTCTGGTGCAGAGACTCCACGTACTCCCTGGCCGAGGCGGCGAACCTGTCCTCCGACATGCTGCCGCTGCTCTGCCTCTTGCGGATCTGAAATAGCGAAAGAGAATATCTTCAGATTTTCTAAAAAGCCCCCGTGATCCTCCTCATCCTCTGTCATTTCCACCTAATCCATATTCCAACACCGTCTAAGGACCGACACGGCCGCAGCAGCTGACACTCACCCCCAGGGCGGGCCGGCGGCCCGGCGTGCAGTCTTGGCTCCGGTGAGCTCCGTGAATACGATGCCGCTGGACCAGCTCGTTGGCCGAGGGGTCGGTCCATAAGTGATCCGATGTCTTCAGCTTGGTGTACTCCAGAGCGCAGGGCCCCACTGAGAACACAACGACACACACACAGAGTAGAGCAGTGAGTCCCAAACACTGTGCCGTGGCCCCCTAGTGTGCCGTGGAAAATGTTCACTGAACTGGTCTGAAAACTTTTAAATACTCTTCTGCTAGGTGGCAGCAGATAACTATGAAAACTAAAAAAATATATAAAATAATCAAATCTGTTGAAGAAGATCTTGTGAGTGTCTTTCTTCAATTCCTGCCAGTATGTCAGAGTTGTCTTCAACTAAACAGGCCAAGATTTTAGTCAATTATGAGGTCATTTAAACTAGAAGATTATATATTTCTTTACATATACTGTTTGTGACATTTTTGTTTGATGGTGTGCCATGGGTTTTTTCCTGACGATATATATATATATATATACACATGTGCCGCGGCTCAAAAAAGGTTGGGAAACACTGTAGTAGAGTCTGTTAGAACGAAAGAGAGTCAAAAATAATAAACCGGCGAGTGCCTTTGAAATTTGGAAGTCTAATCATTTACAGTCGGGTGCACAACTTGTCAAATTTTATTTAACATTTTTTGAAAAACAGAACAGCCCCGGTGTCGTGAACTGACAGAGTGATACATATGCAGAGATGCCAATTAGCAGCAAAAGCCCACATCAGTTCTAAACACTTTGGTCTCTCCTTTTTTTTTTCTTGCATACATAAATAAATTGTCAGCTCCCCATCTGTCCCGGAGCCTTTTCGCCTGAATCTCTCTGCTCTTCACATCTGCTACTTTCTCCCACAACAACAGAAGCCGCCGTTAGCTGCTGATTTGAAGCCAAAGCAGCTCACCTTTACAGTCTGTGTTTTGTTTTTTCCTCAGCCACTTGTCACAGTCTTCACCTCGACGTCTTTGGTCTAGTCTGTACATTTGTTTGTTTCCTGCTCCTGTCTGACTGATCATTAAACCCTGGGCTGTGTCTCTCTGCCTCAGTCTGCTCTCAGCCGTCAGCATTAACATCACCGACGTTACACTTCCACCAGAACTGGGAAAAAAATGTCTCGGTCTTCTACGGAGTTGTCATTTATTATCTGATGCTAACATTAGACAGATATATGTTTTTTTAAGAACTGTAGCTTTGTTCAGATAATTGGTTTCACTTGGTTTCAGCTGCAGCGCGGTCTCGTCTACTCACCCAGCAGAGCAGCCAGGATGGGCCCGAACACCGAGTCGTGCATCAGAGCTTCTCTCTCATAGTATTTACTGCGGTGACAAACACAGCGGGAAAAGAGCGACGTTAAGGATTAACTTCATGTTAAACCTGACGTCGGTACACAACAAAGGTCACAAATTAAAGTCACTCAACACATCCCCCTGGTGGACGGTTCAATAAAGTGACTTTTGATGTCAAAGTAACATTTTAACAGCCTTATTTTTTTCCATTTTTTGTCCTGTAAAAAAAACAACTTTTTTTTGGAAATCTCTAAAGAGTGAAATAAACACAACTAAACAAAAGGTTAATGCTAGTGAAAGACTTCACCTTGAGTTGTCTACAATGTACTGCACAACCTTGTCCAGAACCTTCTCGAAGAGCGCCGTTCGGACCCAGATGTGTTTGACGGCCTGGGCGGAGAGAGGCTGGGGGGGACGGCTGGTGGTGGAGGAGCCCTGTCTTCTGAGAGGCTCATGTCCCACACTCTGAGTTCTCCTGTGGAACACGGAGAACATGACATCACTGTTAACAGAAGACCTTAACGAAGTGTTTCTGTGTGAGCCGGCAGGGTTTTATACTGGAAGTAGAAGAAATAACGTATTATATATAATAAAATATATTTTATTTATATTTTATCAGATTAAAGAAACTGGTTTTTAATATCTTAAAAGAACAAGTAAAAACTAAGATTGTAGTCAAACTAGAGAATCTTCGTGCTGTGAATTTAGTTAACGTTCATTAATTGGTATCTTTGAAAAAGTTTTAATGAACAGGAACCTCAGGGCTTCATCCTCAGGCTCCACTGTGAACTGATGGTCAAGAGAAAAACATTTTCATACAGAATTCTGTGATTTCTTTGGGTTCAATAATTCACTCTGAGATTATTCAGAGTGTAAACTGCCCCCCAGGAAATCGAACTACGGACCTTCTAATTAGTGGACGACCTACTCTACAGTAAATCTTCAGTAACAACCACTCTAACTTGACCGGTGAGGCTCGTCCATCTTCTGTTTTTACCAGCACGTTGATGGATTTTCACATTTCAAAAGTGGAATTATGGCCGTCAACATTTCCAATATTCAGAATTCTATAAATAACCCTTCAAACATGCCGGTGTTGATCTGACAAAAAAAAAAAAACCTGAAGATGATAACACTGATAACACGTTTCTGTTTCGGATGTTTGATCGTTCAATGTCACACACGAGAAACCATTTGTTAAATATCAAATTAGAGAGAATTACCCTCAGGATGTCAATAAAAATTGAGAAGAAGTAAAAACACAGGAAGCAGTAAAAGTAAAGCGGGTAAAAATACGATGATTATCCTCCTGACTGTCAGCGCAGACACAAATATGATCAAACTCACACCTTTCACAATCCTGACCTTTCAGGAATCCATGAAAGATGACAGCGTTTCACATGAAATCTTTAATCCCGTTCCTGCCGAACAGAACGACGTCTCAAGACAAAGTCACCATCTTGGAATCGAGTCTCAAATACCAACTGGATACATTTAAAATGCAGTATTTGAAGTAAAATTAATATTATTATTTTCAATAGGAGGATTCTGTTCGATGTTGTATTAAAATATAAAACATAAATAAATGTGTTATTTTATATATATGTATTTGAAGGCATGTATTTGTGCATTTTTTTAACATCTTATACAGCAAATGTTAAAACATGGTTGACTGTACAGATAATATATTGAATATTTATATACATATTTACATATATATACATATATATCCATATATATGTATATCTCTCCCTATATATTTATATATACACATACATATACATATATCCATATATATATCCATATATATATACATATATATATACATATATACACATATAGATATATACATATATACACATATATATATATTTATCTATATATATTTATATATATATGGATATCTGTGGTCAGTTTAAATAGAACTGACCTTAAAACCTTGGCTGGATGAAAAAAAAAAGAACCTTGACAGAACTACAGTCATGTGGCTGTTGTGCTAGAGTGACTCATGTATAGGTGTTATGCTTCAATAGTAATTCTGTGAGGAGTATACGTCAGTACTCAGGTGAGAGTAAATGTACATTTTGTTCTCAGACACCCTCTACATCTCCCCCTCCCCTCCTCTCCCCTCCCCTCCCCTCCCCTCCTCCCACACACTGATTTTAATGATCAGTTTCAGTCATGGAGCTCTGCAGGAGTTAGAGGAGCTGGAACACAACATTTCAAAGGGATTGAACCAGTTCATCATGACACCGTGCTACTGCAGTGAAAAGAAGAAAAAAAAAAAAAACACGAGCCGCAGAAAAGGCTTTCATGTACTGTATACTTAGTTTAGAGACTATTTGTTCCAAGACTGGGAAGGAACTTGACATCATGGAAGGACTGACGGTGAGCTCCTTTGGTTGAAAAAAAATAAAAATCAGACGGAGCTGGGAGTTAAAAAGAAATACAGGATTCAATTCAGGTTCGGTTTAAAAAAAACTGAATGTAAGACTTAAACATAGACAAAAACATACTGAGTTTTCAAAGTTGTTGGAGATGCCTGTCTTCACATGATTTATCATAAAATGTATTTTTTTATTTACTACTACTTTGTTTTATTATAGGTTCACTATTATATATATAGTATATATATAGTATATATATATATATATATATATATATATATGTTGATGGTGCATTTTTAATTAAAAATTAAAATATTTTGTTCATTACTCCAACGTCTAACACAGGGGCGGGCAAACCTTTGACTCGTGGGCCACAATGAGTCCTAAAATTCAATTCAGGTTCGGTTTAAAAAAAAAAGTAAAACGTAAGACTTAACAATAGACAAAAACATACTGAGTCATCTGCGCCATCTATGGAGAAATGCGAGCATTGCAGGGAAAAGGGCAGAAGTATAATGATAATAGAAATAAATAACATTATTTTGAACACGTTTGGCGGGCCGGATTAAAAAGTCAAACGGGCCGCATATGGTCCTCGGGCCCTAGTTTGCTGATACCTGGTCTAACGTCTCTAATGACACACACACACACACACACTCCCAGTTCAACACCGCTGCAGTGACTTCTATTTATAATATCACTGAGACCGACTAGTGTCACTTCCTTTTTCCCCCCTCAGTTTCTCGTTTCCCATCATGCTCTCTGCTTCTTTACTGCCGGTGGCACACACAGCGTTGCCATGACAACCGCGGTAAATGAGAGCTGGAGTCCTGAGATGGAATGACAGTAGGAGGAGAACGGTGGTGTGTGTGTGTGTGTGCATGAGGGCAATTATGCATTCTGGTGAATAAACACACACACACACACACAATAACAACAATAATGGGCTGTTATGCTGTGTGCTGTGTGTCTGGGGAAATAAAGGCCAATGAGATGTGACAGACGAGCCAAAGACGGCTCAGCTGACACGGAGCTGAGCGCCCAGTGGACCCCAACACTCTGATCCAGGCTGATTTACATCACACGGAGCGGCGGCGAGAACCATCATGTTCTGGGTCTGTGTTTCTTTTGTTAATCATTTATACAGACGTGTGTGTGTGTGTCAGTGTGTGCACTTGGTTTTGGGAGGCTCAAAGGTTTCTCCTCCTCCTCCTCCATATCTGAACCGGTGTATTAGCAGTGCTGTGGTTCTGGCCCTAATGGACGATTAATGGACTTTGAAACAGCTGGGTTTGTAGCTAAGTGCCTGAAGGTGTGTGTGTGTCATGACACACACACAAACACACACACGCACACACAGTGAAATACATATGCATGGCCCAGAGGCTTATCACACTGTGTACACAGACTGCTCAGCTTTGGCAAACACTCAACAACCAAAAAAGTGTTTCAGTGGCAGCACGAGAAACACACACACACACACACACACACAAATGTGTGTAACTGTTCAGTCAATAAAGCATTGATGTCTGAATAAACAAAAGTACTAAAATGGCTGAAAAATAACCAGCAATAAAAAGGCATAAATGCGATTAGTCGACATAAAATGTAATAACCAGCAATAAAAAGGCATAAATGTGATTAGTTGATGTAAAATAAGTAAGTAAAGTCAAGGTAAAAGAAAAGAAAAAGAAAAGATATTCACGTTGCGTAACCTATACTGTCTTCTTCATCACTGATGCTTATTAGCCAATCAAAATCAATCATGTCTGATTAAATGGACCGTTTTTTTCTTTGTCTTTAAAATGCACTGATTTATAGCACTGACTTGTTCCATCTCCAACCAGAGCTTGGAGATGGAACATCATTGTATCGCAGGGACTGGAAAAGTTTTAAAAGACCTGAAAAAACCCAGTCCTGAGTCCAGAGTCCAACCCAGAACTGAACGTAAATGCAATCTTGTCTGTGACTTTGTGCTTAATTAAAACTGCCGTCTTCATATCAACCACGACAATGAGGGCTGTAATGAAGTTTCATCCTTTCTAATTAAAACATTCAATTAAGGGTAAATTAATTCTAAATGCAGGGTCAAGAATGTTCTCTTGGAGCAACACTTTAGTCATAAAATCATGGATCAAAACTCTTAAAGTAACCGTTTCCCAACATTTCTTTTTTGGGAGTTCTGACATAAAAAGTCACAAAAAGTCTATGTAATGAATTTTCTTGGAACCTGTGCCTGTTTAGTTGAACACAACACTGATGTGCTCACAGAGAATTAAGTAAAAAAAAAAACCAACCTGGTCAGATCCGCCTGCTGCTGGAGTTGTTCTTGCACTTTTCGGCAAACTTCACCAGCGATGTCGGAGGCTTTGCCGACTTTAATGAAGAGTGCGGCGATCTTGTCGCTGCGTAGAAAACCAGCTGCACGTCTCTTCAGCAGATGACCCAGACAGGCCTCGATGGCAGCTGCAGAGAGAGAGAGAGTAATGATCAGATACAAACTAAAACGTCACATCACAAAGCCCCAGCGCCCCCTTCTGTAGATAGGATTATTGTTGGCCATGATGTTGAATCATTGAGTTGAGCGTATCGTTACATCCCTAGTTATAACATCAACTGTTACCAATAACAGGCTGGTAATATTTAATTATTTATCTGTACAAACCACTGTATGAGTATGAGATTAATTAAATGAGCTGCAATGCTGCCATCTAGTGAATTTCACTTTCACGTAGAGGCGTTTTTCCCCCTAATATATACATCTCTCGACTTGAATGTCTTCAGGCGTAACAAATGAAATTCATTTTGTAATGTAGCAAAAACGAGGGACATGTTGTCTTTGTTGAAAAACCAGCAGAAAAGCCAAATGTTCAACAACAAGCTCAACACTTCTGAAGGCGGCACAGAAAAACACACATTCTGTACACACTCAGAGTAAGTAACCCAGAGAAGGTCAGGTGAAGCGCTGTACAGAAGGAGGACCAGCACAACAGCCTTCACACATAACAATACCCACTACAAATGTGAGGGCGGCTCAGAACAACGTGTCTGTATCTGGACTCCCACGTGATAACGCTCCGGCTGGGAAACTCTGAAGGAACAAAAGCCCGTCAGCAATTGGTTGAATTTGATCAATCAGAGCAGAAAATTATTGTTATTACAGTCAGGTAGGTTCTATAGTAAAGGAGTAGAACTGGTCATTATCTGACCAGAGGGCCAGGAGTTCAAGTATGAAAATTGAAAAAAGAAAAACAAAACTGCAGATCACTGATATGCCGATATTGTCGAAACACTTACTTTCCGATTCCGATATCAACCGATACTCATATAGGCCTAGTAATATTTATTTATCTGTGCTGTATGAGATTAATTAAATGAGATGCAATGCTGCCATCTAGTGACCTTCACTTTAATTTACAGCCGTTTATCCCCAAAACTATTTTTATGGCACACATAATTTAGCAAAACCCATATGTCTGTAATAATTACAGACATTACATAACATGCCAATATTGGACCGATATCTGTATCTGGCCGATATTATCCGACATCACTATTCACAACGTTAAAAAATAAAATAAAACTCCAAAGCGGCGTGTGATTGTGGACAGAGAAACCCAGAGACCGTGAAGCGGTTATCGCTCGCTGTTCCTGCTAGAAATATATGGCTGTTTGAAAATTGAAAAAGAAAATGACAGATATTTTTGTGTGGGCCACAGCATGGCTGCTCGGAGTGCAGTACGAAATGTGTAATTGTGTGTGTAATGAAATCAATGGACGGCACACAGAGCTCAGGCGTCCTCCAGCTTTGGCCAACAGTGCTGTGTACAGACAGAGTCGTCCATCAGTCAAGGCGTTCCTCCCTGTTCTGCTCTTGTGGTTTGACTGATTGTCAATTATCAAATAAGCTCCGTCATTGTCTAAACTCTAAATGTGTTGTTTTTCCTCGAGTGAGGTGCAAACTTCTTTAAATATTTAGATGGTTGCAGGTTGTAACCCGCAGATATCTGCTCCCTAATTGTGTCCTTTTTCACAGAGCGCGCTCGTGTTGTCTGATCATTACAGAGAGAGATGACATCATAAAACTTTAATGATCCCCGTGCTGGGAAATTGACTTTCTGCAGCAGAAAGGCCGACACAGAAAACACACGCAATTACAAGTTTTATAATTCAATAAAAATTACCTATACCTAGAGGAACTCCTAAAATTCAATGCAACGCAATAAAACACAATGGAACAAAGACAGAACTGTGTGTTTTGTTACTATAAAACAACCCCCTCCACAGCCTAATACTATGCAGGTTAGGGATTATGTAAAAACAATCTTCATATTTAATGAAAAATAATTTTACAAAAACAATAATAATTTAATGAAAAATAATTTTACAAAAACATTTCCGGAATAGAAATTGAAAAATAATTTTACAAAAACATTTTTAAAGAATAAAAAAGTGTTTGTGTTAATTTTTTTTTTTTTTTCAAAATTCATCAAGCGGACCGAATTGATAGCCCAAGCAGGCCGTTTTCGGGCCACGTACCTTATGTTTGACAACCCTGCTCTAAAGTGACCATGGAGTGTATATAAATATAGAATATGTTCAAACCAGAGAGTCGTGTTTGTCACTCTTCAATGTGACGTGTTTAAATGACAGGTTATTCTCTCTGCATACACAATTTGTGTGAAAGTAGCTTTCATAGTTTTAAAAATAAATAAATAAATTGAGAAAGCACTTAGGATGAGGGGGTGTCTGTGGGGAGGGGGGTTGCAAAGTGCAAAAACAGAGGTAATTGGTCTCACAGTCGGGACAGAAATGGCAGAAACACATGAGGGCGCCATTAAAAATGCATGGATGATAATGTAGAAAATTAGGAAGAAATGGAGGCTGGGATCCATTAACGGCCCCCGCCCCTCCGCCTGTAATTGCTGCATTAACAATTGCCATAATGAGCTTTTCGGGTCTGAACATAAAAGCAACAGGGCCACCATCAGGACCAACCCTTATCATGTTTCATATTTCCAAAGATCTATGTAGAGGCTAAAAACGAGCAGATTTAAAAATAAACACATTCATGCAAATGGACCTGCGTTCACAGGTTTTAGTCACCACTGAGGATATTTTTACAGTTTCTGGGCACAAGGCCTGTTCCCCGCTGTGAACAGTCACTCTGTATGCTTTCACTGAGTGGACGACCATTTAGATGAATCACATTATTCTCTGTGGAGTGGGAAAAAAAACAAAAAAAAAAAAAACACGAAGGCGTAATAGTTGTTCTGTTGTTGCTCTTTTTATGAGCTGTTGTTCTGAAGTGATGAACGTGCTGAGAAGCTGAGGTCCAGGCAGCAGCTGGAAAAATGCTCTGTATGTTACAGTAGATTTAAAATTAAAAATTAAATATCAGCTAGATGATGTCATGTTTGATTTAGTTTCAACCAATCACACTGCAGCATCAACATCAACATCAAGTCTACCAAATATTATCTAATCATCTACAACATCAAGTCTACCAAATATTATCTAGACAAAAGAAATATACGAATAAAAAAATTCCAGAGATAAAAGAGAGTAGCAGTCAGAATTTCCAAGTGAGTAAGGAATAACATTTTTGACACAAACAAGAAAGTCTTAAATCTAAAAAATATACTCAAAGACAACTAGCCTAGCATGTTAGCCTTGGTGTTAAAGAGAAAGAAATGTGAGGTATATATATTGTCTTTTCTACATTATTGACATTCAGACACTTCTGACTAAAAAGGGAAAAAAACAGGTGGCAAAAAAAAAAAAAAGTTGAATGATTTTATTTATTTCTAAAACTCCAAATATGCAATTTATGCAATCCCTCCTACGTGGCTTGGTTGGAGGCGAGTAGGAAAACGGAAGGGAAATCTAAATCGAAGGGTCAGGCAGGTTGGCACGGAGACCAATCTGCATTTGGTATTGGTTTCCATTGGGAAAAGGAGCCAGTATTTAAAACATTTATCTTGAGCCCAAGTTTCTGCATCTATGGCTCAGAGATGTGGACTGAAGGAGAAGCCAGGACGTGTGGGCGGTTCAAGATCCCAGTGCTAATCTATGGGATAAAGACAGGATTTAACAAAGTTTGGGTTCTGTGTGTTTATGCACAAAGTCAAACAAAGGGAAGATAAACAAAGACGATTTCAGGGTTTTTTTTTCCTGTCTCGTCCAGCTAATTGTTTGATCACAGCTGGGGTTTTTTTTTTTTTGTATCTAGATGAAATGACCACTTCTTCCCTAAACGACTGCTACTAGCGTTTAAATTATGCATCGGAGACGAAGAGACAAACAACCTTCACATTTTTACGCACGATCTATTTAGCATTAATAATTAAAATTATCCATCATGTTTGGGTGAGGTCCAGATAAACTGTGGACAGTCACCAGAGTATAACAGGACTGAACATAGAGACAGAGCATGGATGGATGGATGGATGGATGGATGGATGAATGAATGGATGGATGGATGGATGGACAGATGGACAGATGGACAGATGGATAGATAGACATGTATAGAGATCGAACTGTTTACTGTGACCTTTCTGACCTCAAGGCTAGAGGACTGACCACTGTCTTCATCATGTGACCTGAGAAACATCTTACTTATTAAAATGAAAACCCAAAAGTACCAAAAACTTCCCGTCTCCCCAGTGTTTGCTCAAATTTCATACTGTTTTGAAAGTCAAACTGAGGCTGTGTGTCTAACTCTGTTGGTAACTGAGAGTTAGGCTCAGACGTCAGATGGAGGCGGAGCCTCAGTCACGCCACAGCTGCAGGTGACTGACATCAGTCGTGCCGTTTCTCTGTGAAGACAGATGTGTTCATTGTGTGTGTGTGTGTGTGTGTGTGGAGAGAAGCTCTAATCCTGGCCATTGTCACAAACAGTTGGGACTGATTAGGCAGCTGTGTAGACGGTGTAGACAAAATGATATCAGTTTTCTAAGGAGGACGCTTCATCTACGGCAGACGTCTCCAGGCGGGAGCTGCAGCTGTGTGTAAACACGCTCCTTTAATTGGTTACAGTGATACTGCATTCACAGCTTCCTGAGAAAAGTATTAACTGCGGCTAATACTGAGCACGTGTCTCCATTCTAATGCACACAAATCAACTTCTGAACCAGGACACTTGAAAGCTCTCACACAAAGAGGCGGAACAGGATAAAACACATCAGCGTTCTTAACGCAAATCCACTTAAAAATAAAATGACTGGAAAATGAGTCAGTGGTTTATGTTGGGGAAAAATACAGAACTTTGAAGAGGAAAGAGAAAAAGAGGATGAAGGGACGGATATGAATGAACATATCATTCCTTTTGAGTCGAAGATAATTATCCCAAGGCCAAATTTGCAAGACGGGTTGATAAAAATATTTCTTTACGCTCTAATAATGTTTAAAAAATGCCATGAACACATGTTAAAAATGTCTCTTCTAATATTTCTTTTTTGTTTTTT